CATGCCTGCTTATTAGGAAATGAGTGCATAATTTAGAATTATTATTGAGGAAAGTAGTGGCCACTACCATGCCAGACTAAATAATATTACATCTTAGTGCCCTATGAATTTAGCAGCTTAAATTACTTCAGACGAAAAAAGAATAAAGATACCATCATCTTGAATGATGAAAGCAATCTAATTTATTCCACGAGTATTTTTATGACAGGTTTGATTGTATAAATCTGCAGAAGCTGACCTACTGTGGCCTGAGTGGGGCTTCAGTGGGCCTGACCCAGATTCCATATCTTTTTGGCCAGAGCTCAAAGCATGACATTAAGCCAGAGGAAGATGCCATTTGGGTTCTAAGATATTTTACAGTAACATCCAAAGGTTAGTGAATTGGCTCTATAGGGAATTTCTCTGAGTCACATTGAGCTTGATATGACTAGCTTTGGGAAACATTTTTTCATACCCCCTCAACTAGAAAAACAGAAAAAAGTATATGCGTTTTCTCTTAAGTTTTCTAGGCCAAGCTGAAGAAAGAATGATGCCTATCTCCATAGACTCTCTTCCACCCTGTTCTGCGCTGGCATTTCGAGTTGTAACATTGAATGTGCGCCATCTAGTGTTCATACACCGCCATTACAGGCTGTTACAGAAGGCTCCAGGCAAGAGCATTGTCACTTGTTAAAATGATGGGATAATTCCTTTTATTTGAAGAGAGATTTGCGATTTGTAAGTTACAGATCTCTATTTTCTGAGTAATCCATACTCCCTAATACTTCATTGATGTCCATTTTTATCTAAAAGAAACCAACTAAAATTTTTCATAGATAAATTCATTATAAACTCGGAGTGATTTGGCAGAATTCAAACTGAAGAGAGGCAGAAGAAAGGCAGGTTCAACAGGAGAGGCAGAATATTTTTTGGCTTTGATTTCAGACAAGTCAGTTAATCTCTCTGCTTTTCAGCCTCACTGTAAATAATAACAGTTATTAAAAGGTCACTGGATATATGCCCAGAAAATATCATGGAAGTTTCTATGTATTCATAATGGAAAAATCAAACAAGAAGGGAAGAGCAGGGCTTCCCTGGTGGCGCAGTGGTTAAGAGTCTGCCTGCCAATGCAGGGGACACGTGTTTGAGCCCTGGTCCAGGAAGATCCCACATGCCAAGGAGCAACTAAGCCCATGGGCCACAACTACTGAGTCTGCGTGCTAGAGCTTGCGCACCGCAACTACTGAGCCTGTGCACCACAACTACTGAAGCCCGTGTGCCTAGAGCCCGTGCTCCGCAACAAGAGAAGCCACCGCAATGAGAAGTCCGCGCACCGCAACGAAGAGTAGCACCCGCTCACCGCAACTAGAGAAAGCCCGTGCACAGCAACGAAGACCCAACGCAGTCAAAAAATAAAATAAATAAACTTTTTAAAAAAAGAAGGGAAAAACAAACTGCATGTCCTGAAGAAATGTGAGTCATCAAATTTGCCAGAACGATTTTTCAAAGTCTTATATATAGACAATGTGTGTTTAAGACCAAACAACACTGTTATGTGACACACAGAGCCTAAAAATGCATTGATAGAAAATAAGACTAAAATTGAAAATGGTAAAATAGAACCATTCCCTTTGTTCTAAATGGTTTAGCTACTCCAGAACCACTCGATAAATTGGATGCTAGTAGAAAATCATTCAATACTGATTACAGGGATTTCCAAATGGCAAAGAAAAGGCTGATCCAACATGTAGAACAGGGCTACCTTGAAAAGCAAGGGGGAAAGCAAGAAAGCTCTAATTCAGTTTGTTGAAAGAGGACAAGAGCTTGGACATGCTCTTCTTTTATGCAGTGTTTTCTAGCAAAACAGCTCAATCAAATGTTTTAAATATCTACAGACTGTGTGGAATCTGCCTGTTCTCTCCATGCCAATGGCCTCTCCTCTAAGATTTCTTTCTGTCCAAATATTTCAGAACTTTGGTTGCTCTCAACCTGCTTCTACAACCTGTCTTAGCTTTTAAAACAGATAAGATGTTAGGAGGCAGGGGAACCTCCTGGAGGTGACCAGGCTTGAAACTGCAATGGCAGAGATTTTGATTTAAAAACCAGTCTCCCTCGCCACTCCAAAGTTGTGAACAGCTTTCTCATCTGCAGCCTTTACGGATGGTTTTAAAAATGACACTCTTCACACTTCCCGAGCATATAATTTCAAGGTCAGTGAGTCCCCTCATGAAGCCCGGAGTGCTCACAGGCCAGGCATGTGTCCCAGTGACATCAAATCACAAAAGCAAACGTAAGCCGCTTTTCTTATCAAGGGAATCCTCTAAACAGAATTAAAGTCTTAATTTATGCTCCTCTGGAAGCCATAAATTCCCCCCCTAAATCTTTACAGCATCCATGTGAGGGAAGAGGCAAACATTTAACCCCTCTGTATCCTGTTTTATTTTTAAAACGGGACCCTACATTAACACAGCAGGTCACTCTGCAACACAGAGCTCCACACCCTAGCTCCGAAGTCCCACAATCCAGGCAATTATCTTTCCTGTTAAAATGAGGACAGGACAGAAAAGAAAACCTTTCTTTGGTTCCATCTGTTTGTGTGTTTTTCTCCATCCTACCAGAATCTGTTCCTTCTCAAGCTCTTCTCTTCTCCATGTGGTCTAACGATTTCCGTGTACAGATTATTTCAAGTCTAGGGAAACTATGTTACCAGGAGGCCATCAATAACAGGAATTATGCCCTTCTTCTCTCCCCTCACGCTGCCCCCAATTCTTTCACTCAACGTCAGAGGATGAATGGAAGATGATGACGGTGAGCTCTAGAGTCTGGTTTCCTTTTCTTATGGACCAGATTGTTCTGGGGTGCTCATCCCTTTACCTCTGCCACAGCTACCCAGAACTGCATTGCTCATCTCCTCTCTGCCCAGGACAGCCCATTCCCATCCCTCGAAAAAACAAGGGAAGACTAAGCAACATAGAGAAGTGCGTGGCGGCCGCGTTCTCTGGGCCTGCATTGTAGGCAGAGGTGAGGGAGAGGTCAGCTTGTCATTCTGTGCCGTGAACTGTACAAATAACATCAATGCTTGCTCTCTGTCCTCAGTGTCTAACCTGTTTTCATCCCGATTCATCAATGATTATTACAAGCCACCTGCCACTTGAAAGAGGCCCAAGAAAACGGAAGAACAGAATTCTCAGGAAGAAATCTTTCCTTTTTTCTATCATTTTTTGATTCTTTGTTTGTGTGAGAAAGAAAGAGTATGGGTAGAGGGGAGAAAAAGAATACAAACCAGAAAGGGAAATTATACTATGATTTGAGGTAATTCACAGAGAAAAGTGAATGCCTCTCATAAAAAACAAAAAGGCAGTGAAGACAGAAAAAAAAAATTCTCAAGCCGTCTACATTTATCACTCTTCATAGATATTTTTCCTAAAAAAATAAAGAGAGAAATTTCAGGTGAGAAACTGAAGTTCAGTAAGCCTGGGATAGCTTCTCTTTCATAATCTATTTTTATGTAGTTTTATATAGTTCACTCCGGAGTGGAGTTTTTTTTTTTTTAATTAATTGCTGATGAGACGCTTTTCCTCCAGTTTACCCGACAGCCGGCAATCACGTCCCAGTGTGTAGCTGACTCTTCCAAACCCTTGACAGGCAGGAGCCCTTGTCTTAATATGTAAGTTAAAAGGTGACTATTCATCAAGAAATAACACTCTTCTTTAAAAAAAAGATTTTTCATAAGTTTCATTTCAAAAAACTCCTTTACTGAGTTCAAAAACAATTTGGTTTTAAAAAAAATCTACTTATATAAAAAATCTTCACCTCTGTCATGTAAAATAAGGGACCTTTATAAACATGTATTTTCTTTTATTATGCCATTTTCTTCATTTCTTTCAAATACTAAACTTAGGATGGTAAATATCCCTTTTGCATTTTAAGATCTGTTTTGTTTCAAAACATTCACATTTCTTTCAACAAATTTGAGCTTGGAAAAATGATTCTTTCTTTTTAATCTTTACCAGATGTTGTTTATACTACAAGCAATTTTTTTTCAGTACTCCAAAATGCAATTATTGTTTAATTAGTGATAAATCTGTCATTTCTGGGCTTAAAAAAAAAATTAACAAGTACCAAATGTACTTTTGTATTTTAAATTTACCAGTGCTCTCTGAGAGGGTTAAGACACAGCGATGCCAGCTCTGGAAGCAGAGCAAAATCCTCCGAATCTGAAGTTCCTCTTCTAGCCTCCCCCAGTGGCCTCTATCCTGTTGGTTTGTGTAGCCTGAGAGGGGAAGATAGCTCTTCAGCCCCCTGCTGCTTCTTGGCGCAGCCTCTGAGTGGCAGTGACCTCCCAGGTCAACTACTGCCCTGTTTTGTTTTCTCTTTTTGTTTTTTTTGTTTGTTTGTTTCTCTCCCTTCATCCCTGACTGGCTGCCAAGTCCTGCATCCTCAGCAGTGAAAACAGAACATGAGATCTAGGCCTCTTTCTTTACAGACAATGCTGGGTGATATGGTGCCCCCGTGAGGTCGATGCTGGAAAGTGCAATTACTATCTGAGATTTTTTTTTTTTTTTACCTCTTAGCTACAAGCAGAAACCACCTCCACACTTTTCTATTTGATCACTGCTAAATTATCTACCTCAGCTTTTGTTAAATTACATGCATCACATTAAAGAGCTCAAAAAAGAAATGCTTAAAAGACTGCTAATGAGAAAGAAGGAAAAGAAAACCCTAGAACATTAGTAAGAAGTTACTCAAACAGAAAACTGACATCATCCAGGATGTGGAGTTAATTCTTCAGTATAATTTTTTATTAAAGGGGAGCTGTGTTTGGAATTTTGTGTAAAAGAAGTTTCTTTTTCTTTTGGAAGTGGCTATGATTGCTATCTGGAGAATGAAAACAAGAATGCATCTTATCTCATATGAGGGAGGTCAAGCAGGACACTGAGGTATCTGCCTGTTTATTATTCTTAAGCTCTTATTAGATCAAGAACTACTTTTTCACCCTATCTTTACTGAGGTATACTTGACAAGATAACTAATTTTAAGGGCGCTATGAAGAGAATACCAGGAGTGTTTCCTGATTTAAAATCTGAATAAACAAAACCAACCCCCCCGCCCCCCCCCGCACTCTTTCGTGGGCAAATCTCTAGATCCCGCTGGAGGGGCCAGCCAGCGAAGGATCAAATGCGAGGGCATGGGAACCAGGGTATATCCCGGCCCTGGCATGCAGCAGGGCAGCCAAGCACAGTGCCACCCAGCCAGCACTTTTCATTCAAATGTGGAATATAAACAATAGCTTTCTGGGCTCCACAAACAGAATTGTAACTGCGAAACATAACATCCTTCTGATTTGGGGCCAGCCTTGGGAAACCAAACAGTGCCAAGAAAGCTGAATAATTAGCAAGTGGCTTTCACTGCTTTTGGTGACATCAGTTTTTAAGGTCAGGTCTGAAGCTACGGATTAGGTCTTCCATTGCCTGTTCTGTCAAGGGACACACAAGACCATCTGCTTTTGAAAAGTGTCAGTCTGCTCAGTAGATGACAAACTGAGGTTAATACCTTGGTTTATTTAGGAGCACCAAATGTGGCAGGTGGGCATGTACTTGGGGGAGGTCCAGCCCACGAGAGCCAAAGGGTGAGTCTCAAAAGTAAACAGGTTTTGAAAACTTACTTCTATTTTAGAAGTCAAAAACATATACATGCACTTAGAATTCAGGTGATTATTAGGTTAGTGGCTTATTATTCATAGTCTTAATGGAAAATACTGAGCCTTGCATCCTTGAGAGGCCAAAGAACATTTGGGGAGATTATTTCACTTTGTACAACCTGTACTACACTTTTATCTTTTGTTTTTGCAACATCTTGGTAACTATAGAATTTCTAGGGCTAATTCTGGATAGTCCCAAGAGATGGAAATGTAATTAACAGTGCTCCATATAAATACAAGTTATGTAGACCATCACACTTTAATTACTCTCAGAATCCAGCTCTAATGTAATAGGCATCGAGTTTCTTCTGGAGGAAAGCACCGCAGTCCTGTGCTAGCTGAGCCTTCAAGATCTCTCTGATACTTGTGCACGGTCCTGCCACTGCACCAAGATATTGTGCTATGATAAATGAATCAGATGATGCAATTAGGAAGCGGGTTCTTCAGGTTACCCTTCCAATCACTCAGTCACGTCACAGGCTTCTTCCAGCCTGCCTGGTTTTTTGGCCCAGTGTGCCTGAGGAGAGCAGCCCACGCCAATCAAGGACTTGCAGCTCTGTATTATCATTACCTCCTTGAACCATAAGGCACAGAGGGGTTACATCCTGCCAATGCCACAATAAATTAAACCAAATAACACCCTCTGGAATCCCCCCTTTAACCATAATGGAAGCTCTGAATGTCTACACACATGATCCTGATAAATGCTTTTGGTAAATCAACTGACTTCAAAACTGTTTGGCGGAAATCATTTTACACTGTAAATTGGAGACGGAAGGTTATACAATGCGATGTTTAATGGGAACGCCTGCTCTCTCTCTCATACTGTACAGTATCCTGTGTTTACTGAAGTGCTGCTCAGGCCCTAGGGCCACAGGGAAAAGGACGCAAAGAGGCTCAGAGAAGAATCACAAGGTTGCTGAATCAAACCAACTTAGAGAAATCGATGAAACTGGAATTTTTCTATAGGGAGAAGACTTAAAGGAAATTTAATGAGAACCTTGAAAGCAAGAAAATAGCTCAGTTACTATATTTTGCCACTGAAAAAGGACCAGAGAAAATTAAATTATAGCATGTATATTTAAGTTAGAAATAGATTTACCTGATAATAAAGGTAATGTTTTGAATGGGTTGCCAGGGGCTTCTAAAAGCCTTTGTTTATACTGAATTTTATTATAATTATTTTTATATAAAGTGCCTTCTTATTTTTCACCATAATATGCAACTCTTTTGAATGATGAGGTCAAGGAGAATTTTCCTATAAGTAACTCTCTTTGGGCTCTCTCAGTCTTTATACCTATCTTCTTTTCTTTTTTTCTATCAAACCCTATAAAGTTCTAAATCAGTTGGGTTCAATTTGTGCCAGCTAACTTGCAGATGAAAGCATCATGGCCGTTGAAGACTACAACACTATCCATGGTCACCTGGGAGGCCCCAGAATGGGAAGGCAAAGGGGAGCCCAGGAAACAGGGAGAAGGCAAGCACGGCCATGGTCACACACGTGAGCTGGTAGGGACTGATCAGGACCTAAAAAGAGAACTGGGATATTGTAAGAAGGCAGCAGATTCAATTATGATTCTCTTACACAGCCTCCAATTTAAAAGAGAAAGAAAAAAAACCAGGAAGTTCTAAGTGAATTAAACAAATAGAAGGTGTCGGAGGCGGGCTGTGCAAACTCAGCCAACCTCAGCGCACCCTATGCAGAGACTCACCCCCGCCCAACACACGCCTCAGCTCAGCAGGGAGGCGCGCACTCTCCTCTGCCCAGTTTCCTGAACACCAACATAAGAGCTGACGGTTCACCATCTCCCTCGAGCTAAGTTTCTCCATCTGCACAAAAGGAAGCAAATCTCTGCCCGTATCTCCCCTAGGTCACAAAAGCTAATGAGAAAACATGTTAGAGCCTACTGAAGTTCCTGTAAGAGGCCCCAGAAGCATGATGCCTCCTGTAGTCTTTTAATTGTTTTTTTCTGAGTGCGTTGGTCTTTATTCCTGTTCTTACAAAAATGCACATAAATTCCAGAGCTGCCTCCCACAGAGGGAAAGCATCCCCATTGGTCAGTTCCCAGGGCTGCCAGAGGGCTTGGGCCCCTGACACTGGATTAGGCAATGGGGCCCATTTGGCCCACTGAGCCCCCGACTTCCCAGGCCTGAGAAGTTCTGAGTAGAGGGGAGACTGTGCAGCCCCTGAATGGAGGGAGGGTTCAAGGCTGGCAGGCTGACACCGAAAGAAAACTGACATAATTCTCAGTTGTTTTTGTTGTTTTAATCATTTTTCTGGGGTTTTGTTTTGTATCTTTTAAGTATTTTATTTTTCCTCTAGTGAAGGGTTAAAAGTTTACTTTTTGAATGCTTTTCTTTGTTAATTGATTCCTCCTATTGTTCATAAGATCCTCACTTTTTAAAACTTAACTTTTCATGTGGAAATGAGAAATACTGTTTTAAAAAATTTGTTGTCCAAATGTCAGGTCAATTCTTGTGAATATGCAATATAAGGTGCAATGACCAAGTAAATCTCGAAGCTTGCCTTTTTTTTTTTTGCCCATTTGCCACTCAGCTTGTGGGCTGGTGGGGTCTTAGTTCCCCGACCAGGGACTGAACCTGGGGCCACAGCTGTGAAAGCACCAAGTCCTAACCACTGGACCACCAAGGAATTCCCTCACCTTATTTTTAATACATGCTCTAAGTATGCAGAAAAGCCCCCTACATTAGGCGTTTCAAAAATAAAATGTAGATAGATGATTATTTTAAAAGGTGCCAATCGCTCTTTAGTTTACATTTTTTTCCGCTGTGCTGACTAAAAAAAATGATACCCAGCATCGTCTTTAAGGATTTTTCTCCTCATCAAAACCCGGCACATACCAGCAATGAATCTTTCATAAAGCATTCGATCCTCCTCAGAAAATGTCTCTCACTGGAGATAAGCTTTTCAAAAAGATGCAGCATTGTATTTTCAAGGCTGGGAAGGTGCCGAAGCCAGAGGCAGAGTATAGCTGACGCGGGGAGAGAAATCTTCTTCCTTTCAGTAAGAAATAAACAAAACTTTAATATAAATGAGTCACTGAAAAAAGAAGCAACTGACAAAGGATTAATCTCCAAAACATACAAACAGCTCACGGAGCTCAACATCAAAAAACCAAACAACCCAATTAAAAAATGGGCGGAAGATCTAACATACAGATGGCCAAGAGGCACATGAAAAGATGCTCAACATCACTAATCATTAGAGAAATGCAAATCAAAACTACAGTGAGGTATCACCTCACACCGGTCAGAATGGCCATCATCAAAAGATCTACAAACAATAAGTGCTGGAGAGGGTGTGGAGAAAAGGGAACCCTCTTGCACTGTTGGTGGGAATGTAGATTGATACAGCCACTATGGAGAAAAGTATGGAGGTTCCTCAAAAACCTAAAAACAGAACTACCATTCAACCCAGCAATCCCACTACTGGGCATATACCCTGAGAAAACCATAATTCAAAAGGACACATGTACCCCAATGTTCATTGCAGCACTATTTACAGTAGCCAGGACATGGAAATAACCTAAATGTCCAACGACAGATGAATGGATAAAGAAGATGTGGCACATATACAGAATGGAATATTACTCAGCCATAAAAAGGAAAGTGGGTCATTTGTAGAGATGTGGATGGACCTAGAGTCTGTCATACAGAGTGAAGTAAGCCATAAAGAGAAAAACAAATATCGTATATTAACGCATATATGTGGAATCTAGAAAAATGATACAGATGAACCTATTTGTAGGACAAGAATAGAGATACAGATGTAGAGAACGGACGGGTGGACACAGTGGGGGAAGGAGAGGGTGGGTCGAATTGAGAGATTGGGTTTGACGCAGATACACTACCATGTGTAAAATGGATAGCTAGGGGGAACCTGCTGTATAGCACAGGGAATTCAGCTCGGTGCTCTGTGACGACCTGGATGGGTGGGATGGGGGGGTGGGAGGGAGGTCCAAGAGGGAAGGGGTATAGCTATACATATAGCTGACTCACTTCACTGTACAGCAGAAACTAATACAACATTGTAAAGCAATTATACTCTTAAAAAAAAAAAAGAAAGAGTTCAAAATGCAGTAACAAATCCAGTCTGTGACTTTTTTCCATTATGGTCATAGTAGCAGTTAATATTTATAGTATCAATGAATATGTACCAAGTATCCCTTTGCAAATATGCTTCCACTTCAACTCAAGGGAAAAAAATGCTTTCAAAAAGGACAAATAAATATATAGTGAAGGAAGAAAGAGAGTGATAAAAAATGCGATGGAAAAAGGCCTTGAGATATCCAGGTAAATGCAGTCCCTAATTTAAGAAACAGTTATGTTTGAAAGTGCATCATAATGGTTTAAAATGTGGAGTCAGCCCTGGGTCTGAGTCCCAGAGCCACCACCTACTCACTATATGACCTTGGGAAAGTTACTTAACCTCTAAACCTCAGTTTACTCATCTGTAAAACAGGCCTACCTCCCTCCTAGTGTTGTCAGAAGGATCAAATGCAATAATAACACATGTACAGTGAGTGCTTAGGACAGTTCTTGGCACATAGTAAATATTTAATCACTGTATTGGTAAATCTGTTGAAAATTCTCTTTAGTGATAATTTCATAAAAGGTGGTTGGACTGGTTGACCCACAGTTTATCCACAGCATGATACACTATAGACCCTAACCATTTTGTATAGTTACATTTCTATAGGATAATGTATTTGGAGATTCCTCCTATGTCAGGTCAGTGAATCAGGGATTCTACTTCTCCTGGGAGGGAGCTCTAGGGGGACATCTGTCTAACTCTGAGCCACCGGCAGGGGGCCCTCCCTGTGGATGCTGAGCCTATTCTGGCCTGGTGGAACTTGGCTTTCCTTCTCTCAGCCCTGCTTTTCCAAGGCCTCCTGCCCTTTCACCTGCAGGACCACAGATAGCAGAGTGCTTTTCCAGGTTCTGCTAAAGATGTTTACTGCTTTTAATAAGAAAAACGAAAGCTGGGGACACAAAGGTTTCCCATTACCCAACAATCCCTTCAGGGTCTTTCCCTTCACCACCACTTCTGGGCCATTTCTCTGCAGGAGATGGCATGAAGCCCAGGGAATGGGTACAGGGGCAGGAAATGAATAGGCAAAGACACAGGGTAGCAATTTCTAGTAGTTTCTCTTTGTTCTTCTCCCATAGCCTACCTCCTGTAGACCTTGTCCTAGATTAACTCTGGGGCAAGACTGAAAGAGGCTGAAGAATTGTAGGGTCTGCCACAGGAGCAGGCAGAAGGGCAGGAGAAAGGAAGGGAGGCATGGCCCTCATCCGACCCTCTTTATAACTCCCATCTCACCCTGAGCTTCAGCTCTTCTGGGAAGTCTTACAGGACCCCCTTCCCTCTCCATAGCTGGCAATGAAGAACTGCCATGGTGCCCCAAACTCGTATCACCTGGCACATTCTGGGGCCACACTATGGATGTCCTCTATTGTGGCACCAGTGCTTTGGGCTGCCATTCCCATGCCACCACCCGTTATACTCGATGGCAAGGAGCTGGTAGTCACGCATTCAAGGAAGATGACTAAGCACTTCCCATGTGGCACTCAATGTGCTGGGTGCAGGCCAAACAACTGGGAACAAACAGACCTAATCTGTATCCTTAGCGGTTTAGGGCCCAATGGGAGGTATACATACATATATACATACACACATACACACACACACATCAACTGTGATAAAGGCATTGAAGGAAAAGGACGGGCTGAGGAAAAAGAGAATATCAGGAGGGGCCCAATTTAGATCAGGTGGTCAGGGACAGCCTCTCCAGTTGAGTTTAGCTAGAGACTAGCTTGGTGGGATAGGCAAGGGAGTAGTGGGAAGAGCACCTCAGCAGAGGGAACAGCAGCTGTGTCAGAAGAGAGCAAAGGTGAGGCGGCCTGTGATGAGGCTGTGCAGGACCACAGGCAAGGCAAGGGTCTGGTGTTTTATTCTGGCCCAGAAGGTTTTTGATTTTGTTTTTAATTTATTAATTAATTTATTTTTGGCTGCGTTGGATCTTCGTTGCTGCACGCGGGCTTTCTCTAGTTGTGGTGAGTGGGGGCTACTCTTCGTTGCGGTGCACGGGCTTCTCATTGCAGTGGTTTCTTTTGTTGCAGAGCATGGGCTCTAGGTGTGCATGCTTCAGTAGTTGTGGCATGTGGGCTCACTAGTTGTGGCTCGCGGGCTCTAGAGCACAGGCTCAGTAGTTGTGGCACATGGGCCTAGTTGCTCCACAGCATGTGGGATCTTCCCGGACCAGGGCTCGAACCCGTGTCCCCTGTATTGGCCACCGGATTCTTAACCACTGCACCACCAGGGAAGCCCTGGCCCAGAAGGTTTTAAACAGAGGAGTGCCAGGATCCAATTTACATTTCAAAGATCACTCTGATTGCTGCACGGAGAACTCAGTTCAGAGAAAAGAGTGGGTGCAAATTTCCAGGGGGAGCTGGTGTTAGCTTGGACCTGGGTGGCACTAGAGAAGGAGAGATAGCGTATTCTAGCAGTGATATCAAGAGATACTGGCAATGAATTTGATGAGAGCTGGTGAAGACGAGGTAGGAATCAAGGCTGTCCCAAGTTTCTTGAGCTGCAAGATGGATGGACATACCATTTACTCAATGGAAAGAAGGGAAGAAAAGATTTGTGAAGGATTTACTGAGAGCTTAGTTTGGGGTGTGTGAATTTAGAATGCCTGAGGCACAATCCAACAGAGGTATGACGTAGGTCCTTGAATATCCAAGTTGGAAGTTCTGGGGAGAGATCTGAGCTGAAGATCTATATTAGGGAGCTGTCAGCTGGCATGGAGCAGCAAGAGAATGGAGAACTCTGAGGGACAGAGGTCTGAGTGGGGAGAGGGCCCAGGTCTGTGCCCCAAGGAGTTTCAACAGGTAAAGGAAGAGGTGGGGGAGCTGCAGACAGAAGGAGGAGTGCCAGACATTCAGGAGACAGAAGCAGAGAACCATGTCACCAAGGAAGAGAAGGCCAGTCCAGCTGTGACCAAGTCTGCGGAGAGGCTGAGGACATGCGGAGGGAAGCACGAGCACTGCGTCGGGCAGGCCCTTTGTGATCTCCCCAAGAAAAGTGTTGGATGGGGATGGAGTGATGGAAGCTGAGGGCAGAGTCCATGAGGAGACGAGTGGAAGTGAAGCCAGCATTGCAGACTGGTCTTCAGAGGTACGGCTGTGCTAGGAGTGACAACAGGAAGCCACACAGGGTGGTGGCCTTGTGTGCTCCTGAAAGGTGGTGTTTTGGGCTGACTGCTGATGGGCCGGATGAAGAGGAGCTGGAGAGGCTGAAGGGCCAGTAGCTGCCATTTATTAAGGTCTCACCTGGAATAATGCTAAGCATTTTACTTGTATTTTAATCCTCATAACAACCCTACAAAACAGGTACCATCATTATCCTTATTTTTTGAGGTTGGAGTGGGACCGAGAACTCACAGCCACGATTTGAACCTAGGAGGTCTGGTGCTGGAGCCAGTCCTCAGCCTCAAGTCACACATAGGCCTCTCCACTCTGCAGGCAGGAGAGTGGAGGATGTTGCTCAGAAGCTGGGGCCTGGCACAGGGGTGAAAGCAGACAGTTTTCCTGGGTGAGCCAGATGCCTGGACCCTGTGCTCACTCCCTTCAGTGTCTAGGGAAGTCTTTTCAAAAGTCCAGGCTATCAGCCAATTTTAGCCACATTAACAGACGCCTGGGAAGGGATTTCTCTCCAGCTTTCTTGAGAGAGAAGAACACCCCTTGGGAGTAGGGAGAGGGTGTCTGTAGCCTCTGTCTCAGAGCCAGAAAGCCGCTGGGAGGCAGGAAAGCTCTGAGGTGCAGGGGGAAGAACTTGGCCGCACAGTGGCTCCTCCCTTCCCAAATAACATCTGCTCTCATCACACCTTATCTTTTTTGAGGATCTATGTGAAATAAATATGTACATCATTAGAAAAGTTTCTCACTTCAGTGAGAGTTCTTCAGAGGCAGTCCCATTCCTAAGCCCTCTGAGCA